AGAGAGAGAGAGAGAGAGAGAGAGAGAGAGAGAGAGAGAGAGAGAGACTGGTTTCGTTCCTTCTTGCCCTGATCAGACCTGTCCAGTCCTCTTGTGGCCAATTTCTTTCTCTAACCTCTAGCTCGCACTCCTAAGGCAGCTGGGACGCGATTATCTGCAGAAGAGAAGCCGGGAGGGAAGTAACCAGCGAACCAGAACAAGAAGGCTAGGGAGAAGGGGAAGGGAGCACAGGGAGGGGCAGGTGGCTCTGGTGAGGAGAGGCTGAAGGAAGAGTAGGAGGGACTTTCAAAAAATCGGTTTGAGCACAGTGGCTCCATTCCTGCTAGCAAAGGGCAGAAACAAGCAGGAGACTTTCTTCCCTTTCTGCTGTGTGTTGTGGAGGTGTTCGCTATTGTACTTTTCTGTGTATTCTGATTCCAAATAAAATCACTATTACACGAACAACTCGCTTGGCTCTCTTCCGGGACCTCTTGGGAGGGCCTTGGACCCAGACACTTGTGCCATCATCCTAGAACTTAATCCAACACCGCTCTCCTTTTCATGAATGTCCTTATCATCTCCTGAGGAGAAAACGAAATGAAATTGTACCATACACACACACACACACACACACACACACACACACACACACACACACTACTCCAAGCCCACTCCCACCCTACCAGACCCTCTCTCAGTGGGTGTGCTTGAGGACCTCTGACTGGAGAGTGAGTCGCCGGTTTCTAGAAGAACCTTGTGTGCAGAGCAGACCTGAAGGTAACTAGTTCTGATGTCCAAGCTATTCCTGTAACCTTGATTGTAAAAGAGAAACTAAGCTGTTGGCCAGCGGTCCGACTGCAGATATCATATTCCAGGCACTTGTTGTCTTCCCTCACCCCCAGGTATTGTTTTCAAACACTCATCAAGACAAAGCCCACTTTGAGAGAAAAGGTAATGCCTAGGAGGTGGCGCAACTGAACTCAAAGCCAGGGAGTCTGAGCTCTAAGCTGTGTTCTCCATACTCTTAAGGATGGAAGTGACTTTTAAACCAATCTGAACAAACAATCCCTGGGCATGTCCTGACCATAGTTCCCGGCAGTGGCAACAGAATTCTCATTCAAGGTCCCTCACAGAAAGCTGTCTCATCTCTGGGTTGTGAACATTTTTTTGGAAAAGAAATAGATTCACGGGTCACATGGAGCCTTCAAAATTTAGTTTTCCCATTATTGGTGAACAATAATATATTCCTCTTTGAGTTTTGTTGGGATCATATTAGAAAGCAGTACTTGGTGACTGGCGCATGTCTAGTCTTTAGTAGAGACTCAGTTCCTTTCTTCTCGAGTCACCCCAAATGCAGGCCACGTTCTCCCCACGGAGTCACTCCAACCCACTGTTTCGTTGTTTGGATTTTGCCCTTAGCCACCCCCAGGAACAACCCTGCAGATAATAAGCCAGGCTTCCAGAGTGGTGGAGAGGCTTCAGTGAGATCATGTGGGTGATCTTTGTCTGGCACAGAAAACATAATAGCTTTTGTGATTAATAATGAAAACCTAATTGCAGAATTCAATAGGCTCTGGAAACTTACTCTTTGATTTCCCCTGTGAATCTTTGTGTTCGGCCCCCTTGCTGCTTTGTCTCAGGCGTGTGAAATGTTCTCACATCTTCACGCTCTGCCTTGAAGAAATGCTAAACTGGGAAAAAAATTCTGGATTCTTCCTGCTTAAGGTGGCTACTGTGACCTGCTGTTGTCCTTAAGGCCACAGTCCTGCTTTCTCCAGCCAGACCCCTCAGTGTGAAAAGTTCACCCCCTTTCTCGTAGTATCCCCAAGGACCTGGCTCCTTCACGCCTTGAACTCCAGTACATGGCGCATATTTCCGCTGCAGTTTGTTGCCCTGTAATTTATATAGTTTTTATAATTTGTGGAAATGACTGAGTACTTCCTAACGGAATGAGCCTTCACTTCTCTGTGTTTGTATCTTCTCCTTTGGGCCTAATAGCATGTCACTGTAATTCTGGTACTCAGCAGGCTGAATACTTGGGGGGCTGGACATTGGAAGCCTCAAAAGCTATATATGAGTTCAAAGCCACCCTGGTCAACATAGCAGGACTAAGCCCCTGTCAGAAGAAAGGAAGAGGGACTGAAGAAGGGAGGGAGGGAGAAAGCAAGGAAGGAAGGGGGTGACTATGAATGATGGTGATCTGGGGTGGGGAAGGGAGAAAATGCTAACATAGTGCCCAGCATGAACTTCATGCATAGCAAGAGTGACTGAGACCTAGGAGAACTGCTTGTCAATTTTTGCTACAAGCAGTCATCAGACCACACCCATCTTTGTATTTCAGTGACCACTTATTAGTTTCAAAACAAGGAGAGTGTGGTGTTAAACACATGCAGTCATCCATAACTCAAAGACAAGAATGGAATCCAAATGTGGAAACCATTGAACCAAATGGGCAACACTATAAGGATCCAAATCTTAAACCATTTTAGGCTCCTTTACACCGATACACCCAGAAAGATGGAAGCATAGAAGAAACAGGGGAATCCAGAAGCAGTGAGTCTAGCGAAGACAAGCAAAGGCACCTTTGCCAATCTTCTAAGCAGCTCTTGCGGGAGTTGATTTGAAAGTAGACTGCACTGAAAACACACTGCCCCCTTATCAGCTCTCCTGCGCTCGCCACTCAGACCATCAGGACACTAGGACAGGGTTTTCTGCACTCAGGGTCGCGGAACCTCAGATCTGGTCATCTAAATCGTTTCAGAATTCTGGTATCTTTTGATGCCTGCTTTCCCCAAACAATAAATAACTAGATCATAGGCTTGCTAATTCTGGCCAGCCTCCAGTGTAGGATTTCTTGTTTGGTGGAGGATTCAGAGTTTTCCACAGAGTAACTTCAGGGCTAAACACATAACCGGTACAAACATCTTGTATCTGATCTCTTTATTGTGTCAGATTAAATGAGTTGCCTTAATTTTTAGTAACAGGATATTCCACACATACTAGTGTTACTGCTACAATCAACTGCCGAGCCAGGGACATATTCTTCTCTCTTTCCTAAATACAATGCAAAGAGTTAAAGGAGGGGGTTCCCATAGCTGCAAAACCACAGCAGAACACAGTTTGAATTTTAGTGGAGTCTGTTGAGTTGAATTTTACTTTTGGCTGCAAAACCCTAGATCTATATGTGTATATGTGCAGTGTGCTTGGGCACTATGTGCATTCAAGGGCTAAAATCTTCATCGAAGGCTCACATACTGTGGCACACTATGCACTGAGTTCAACATGGACACAGGGGTTTTAAAGTTAGGCCAGTTGTGATAATCCACATAGACTTTCACAAGATCGGGCCCACTAACATTTCTCTGTGGGTGGATAGGAGTGTTTTTAAGGAGCACAAGCAGCACATGGGGCCCCGCAGCCCTCCCTGTGAACATATAATGGTTAACGATTTTTGGGAAGGCATCTTCTTTATGGTTGTAGCCACTGGTAAGCTGCTCACTCCCTTGTAGGTAGTCCCTTGTGCATGCTCCTCTAAGTGACCACAATCTAAACATTTTGGTTCATAGACCTGGACTTGGATGGAGTTATTTTGTTTGTTTGTTTTTGGTCTGTCATTGGTACACTGGACTGAATGAATACTCATTTGTTCCCACAGCCCAGAAAAGTTAATGCCAATGTCATGTCAGGTTGTATTTGCAGCTCTGGGTTCTGGTCCCTATCACTTTATTTCTCCCATCTTCGTTTCATCAATCCAGTAGATATTTTGTATCCATTTTGATCATGACCATTAATTTAGTGTCAAGAACTGGAAGATGACAACTTATGGCCTTTTTCTGGGAAAGTTTAGTCTACCGGGGACATCGCTTATTAATTCGCTTTGGAAATATTGATGTAATTTTGATTGACTGAGTCTTCTCCCCCACTGAAAACCACAGAAGATACACTGCATGGAAAAGCTGACATTTGAACAGTTTTGAAGTCAAGTGGGAGACTTTCCAAGAGGTTTTTAGATAGCATGTTCGAGACAGCAGAAGATTGTCTACATAGATCATATTCAGGGCTAAGAAAGGGCATCTGCTATGCTGGAGTGGGAGAAGCCAGTTTTATGGAATTGTCATGTCCCTTGCCCAGTGTTTTCCACCACTTATTTCCTCGGTTAAGTCACATTAACTGTGTGCTTTTATTTAGCTATCGGGGTAGCTACAAATGGGATGGTTGAGTCTGACTTTTCTATGGGGTTTCAGCACTCACTGTCATTAAATATGTGGATGACCTGTTGACATTATGCATTTTAGCATATGGGAAAATGGAACTCATCATTTCTATTCTCTAAGCATAATTGTGCCTGCAAACTTTTATGACTGATCCTATGACCCTTCCAGTCACCCAGGTTCCAGGTCATGGTCCTTACTTGGTTTTCCTCAGATGGAGTCTCTAGAGGGTTCCATCTTCTACTCCCCCTCCCATTCCCCTCATTAAATTTTATTGCAACCTCTTCATTGAGCTACTTGATGTGGCATTTCCCTCTGTGTGCTGTGATTACCATTAATGAATAAAGAAATTGCTTTGGACCTATAGCAGGGCAGAATTTAGCTAGGTAGGGAAGACTAAACTGAATGTTGGGAGAAAGAAGGAGGAGTCAGAGAGAAGCTATATAGCCCTCTGGAGACAGATGCTGGGAAGTTTACCTGATAGGCCACATGGTGATACACAGATTAATGGAGATGGTTAAATTCATGTGTAAGAGTTAGCTAATAAGGAGCTAGAGCTAATGGGCCAAGCAGTGATTTAAATAATATAGTTGATGTGTGATTATTTCGGTTCTGGGCAGTGAGAACCAAATCACGGTTCTATTTTTTGCAATAGCTACTGATATATTTTTAAAATAGATTAGTTTTGTAATTTCCAAACTGGCCTTTAGCTTTTTTTCTTTCCAACTTTGCTTGATTTCTACTGCTGCAAAAGCAATTACCACAGATTTAGAGGCCTGA